GGGAGGGAGGGAGGGAGGGAGAAAAAAAGAAAGAGAAGGAAGGAAGTCAGATTTTTAAATTTATGGGAAAAATTTTTAGCACCAAGCTATGAAAGGAAAAACTATGAAATTCTTCAGAAAAGTAAGCTGCTATAAAATAAATTGGCATTGTTAGGTACCATTAAATACCGATTGTCATGTTAGGCATCAATAAATAGAACACTTTACTCTTTGAAATATAAATTTGTACTACAATAATCAATTTATCACAGTCTCATCTTTTAGTAGAGATGCCTTAGCATCATCACTACAAAATATATACCCATCAGCTGATGCTATAAGATATACGACCAGCACTATCATCATTAAAATATTAATTATATAAACTTTATTAGAACTGTTCATGTCGGAGGATCCGTTGCCATCATGAATGACACAGTAACTATCCGAACCAGGAAGTTCATGATCAATTGACTTCTTCAAAGGAAACAAATGGTCGTTGAGGTCCTTCACCCTGGGAAAGCAAGAGTACCTAAGACAGAAATTTGGGGAAACTCGCCAAAATATCCAAGACCACACCAGAAGTCATTCTTTTTTTTTTTTTTTTTTTTTTTTTTTTGCAGAACTGGGGATTGAACTCAGGCCCTTGCACTTGCCAGGGAAGCCAGGGAAGCACTTATTCTGCTGAGCCATCTCCCCGGCCCCCAGAAATCAGTCTTGTGTTCGGATTCAGAACCCATTTTGGTAATGGCAAGACTGGCTTTGGCATGATTTATGAAGATTATGCAAAGAAAAATGAGCCCAAACGTAAACTTGCAAGGCACGACCTGTATGAGAAGAAAAAGACCTCAAGAAAACAGCAGAAGGAACGCAAAAACAGAGTGAAGAAAGTCAGGGGAAAAAAAAAAAAAAAAGAAAGAAAGAAAGTAAGTAAGTCAGGGGCACTGCAAAGGCTAACGTTGGTGCTGGCAAAAGCTGAAGGAGGAAAGATTCTGCAGTGCCTGTCTGCAGTGACTGCGACTTTTTTCACAAGAGGATTTAATAAACTGTATAACCTTCAAAAAAAGAAAGAACTGTTCATGTCACCCATGAAAGTTAAGGAGTTACCCAATAAATCTGATTTCCTTCCTAATAACCAATACATATGGAATTAAAAGATTAAGATATAGTTTGGACAGCACAAGTAAAATAGGTTCACTCTCCATCTAGATTTTCAGCAGAGTGATGCAACGACAATCACTGCGTACAAATAATTCCAATTAAATGATAAAATCTCTGGAGGAAATATGAAAATATAGTCAGAGAACCATGCCTTAGAATTGAAAAACAGATGCCACTACCAAGCTAAATATACTAGCCCATCAGTAGAGATCTGGACTCAAGTTCTTGGTTAAGAAAAAGCCCAGGGAAAATCATTTAATTTTGCTGAGTTTTGATTTCTGCATCCATAAAATGGAATAAAACTTTTGTTTTATATACTCACTGAGAATGAAAATCATAAATTAGAAAGAACTTCGTGATAATACTGCGAAAAGGGGAGTTTATAAATCATGTTTCTGAGCAGACTTGAAGAAACGCTAACTTTTGTACGGACTTGTACCTGAAGCAAGGAGTTTGATAATATAATTACTACTCTACAGCTTTACTGTACATTGCGTTATAAGTCAAAGGATAATGTGCTACATTTGAATGTAGATTCAATGCTCTTCAGTTCTTTGGAAAAAAAAAATTTTTTTTCTTTTCCTTTCTCTTTCCTGTCTCCTTTTTTTGGATGCTGAGAATTGAACTCAGGGTCTCGTGTATGTTAAGCACACACTCTACCACACTGTTGACCTTTACTGTCAACTCTCTCATATTGTTTATAAAAGCAAGATACCAAAAAAAATAAAAAATAAAAATAAACAAGAAACCAAGTTAACATCTTAAGATTCTTCTCTCTAAGCACATTGGTCAAGCAATGGCCGTGACTCATCCACATGGCTGACACTGACAAAGGTTCTACAATCTGAGGTACAGGATCTCAGGATAAATCCTGAGGGGATTTCACTGACCTTAGCAGACCCAAAAGCTACAAATCTTGTTGCATGGGTCCTGCTTTACCTTGGTCTTAACCATCCAGCAGAAAAGTATAAAAATGAAGTATGAGAAGTAAAGCCATGGTGTTATGTTGAGCTGTAGGGGACTCAGGTCAACAATTTCTGACATTGCCAGTTAAACAGAAGACCCAATACTACTATGGACTACTGGACTCTTTTAGAATATTTTGCTGAGTTTACACACCTATAATATTCAAATAATGGAACTTAACAAAAAAGGGGATACAGATGAATGTCTGTTTTGTATCTGTGTATTCAGAGTGGTTAGGATAGATATATAGTTACATTCTCTTAACGAATAGAGGGATTTGTTCTAATGGTGTTTGTAAATAGGATATCAAGTTTGCATCCTGTACAGCAATTAACCACTATGAAGAATGTATGCAATGTGTTAATTATTGAAACTGTCCTACCCATTTGGTTTGAAACTATCTCATTGCTAGTTGTTTCTCAATAAAATTATGGGGAAAAAAAAGATTCTTCTCTCTAAAACAGCAATATTCAACTTCCCTATTCCTAGGAAACACGGAGCAAACAAGTGGAGGTAAAACTAAAGAAAAATATGTTGGGCCAGGGAGATGGCTCAGTAGAATAAGCGCTTCCCTGGCAAGCACAAAGGCCTGAGTTCAACCCCGGTTCTGCCAGAAAAAAGGAAAAATATGTTTACAGATTTAGCTCTAATTTGTAACCTAACATTACTGTCAAATCCCTTTAAACTGTGCATCTCAGCTTGGCAGCATAAGCACCTCTCTAGCAAGTACAAGGGCCCAGGTTCAATCCCTGGTACCACATGCTGTGCAGGCCTGAAACTGGCCATGGTGGCGCACGCCTGAATCCCAGCGCTGAGGAGACTGAGACAGGAGGATCACTATGAGTCCGAGATGCATAGTGAGACCCTGTATCCAAACATTAAAAGAAAATAAAAATAAAAAATAGACTTTGCATCTAGAATCAATACCACTTTTTAAAATATGACAAAGTATGATATAAACCTATGCAAATCATAAAATTACCTCTGCTCATTAAGAGATTTTAAAGGACTTCCAATTAGAATTTTTTTTTTTTTTCGCGGAACCAGGGGTTGAACTCAGGCCCTTGTTTTTGCCAGGGAAGCACTTATTCCACTGAGCCATCTCTCCAGCCCTTAAACGTTTATTTTAAAGTAAGCACAAGTACAGATGAAAAAAATAAAAGTAAAGGGTGAGGACAAATGCAAAAATGAGTGGCTGTGAAGAGAAAAAAATGTTTACATAATAGGAACCCAGACTGTAGGCCTCTATGGTGGCACACACTGTAATCCCCGCATTCAGGAGGCTGAGGCAGAAAGACTGCTTTGAATTCAAGGCCAGCCTGGGCTACAAAGGGAGTTCAAGGCCAGCTTGAACTGCATAGCCAGACCTAGTTTCAAAAAAACAAAAACGAAAAACCAAACTATTCTCACTAGGAAAGAATAGTATTAGAAATGTGAGGGAGACTAAAGATAGGAGGGAAAAAAAGGACAGGAGAACTGGCTTTTTATTTAAAGCACTGTGAGTGAAATACATTATATGCCAAGAGATACAAAATTTGTTATATATCAAACAAAAACATTCCTAAAATGTGGCAATTTTCCTTCTCACCAACATTTTCCAATTATAATAGTCTGTCTGTACTCTTACCAAGTATACTCTTACCAAT